CCTCAGCTTCTGCTCCTTTAGCAGCAGGAATCATAGCCCTGGCCTTGGAGGCAAAGTGAGTGTATTTACGACACAGTAGAATACATATTTTTTGATCTATGGAGCAACAAAAACATTTAAACGAACCAAAGTTTTCAAACAATCTAATAACAATCGTTAGATACCTACTTACAGCTATTTATTAACACCCCAAACACTTTAGGTGACTTAAGATAAAGATAGATAATTGTGAAATTCAAACTTAGTCAACTGTCTGTCCGTTCCTGTGAAACATACTATGATATCATCCACATATCTAAACCAATACACGAACATTCTTACCAGTGAGTTACTGTTACCTCTGCCAGAATACGACTAAATGGGTTTCCCATTAATCACTCGAGAACTGGTGATTCAAATGTCAATCATGATTTCAAGTTGAAAAGTTAAGTGAATTTCGAAATGAAATAGAATATTTTTCATTCCAGTTCTAATCTAACGTGGAGAGACGTCCAACACCTGATAGTGTGGACTTCGGAGTTAGCCCCTTTGGTCAACAATCAGGGATGGCAACAAAATGCGGCTGGATTCTGGTTTAACGACAGATTCGGCTTTGGACTGATGAATGCTTACGGATTGGTAAGCGCAGCGGCGACTTGGATCACTGTTCCAGAAAGAAGAACATGTCAAGTGGTCCTGCCAACAGGGTAAGTACGAGTACTAGACACCTGGAATATTTGTCCTCATACAACTCGATCTTATGAATGATTTCCATTGTTCCGTGGTCGAGAAATTAACTGAGAAGATAAATCTTATGAGGTATTCATCAATGAACCTTCAATGGAAAACAACATGCATTTTTCATAGCGCCAATTGAATAATCATGAAATTGAGAAACAGCAGTTGAAACCGATAATCTGTCGAACAGAATATCTGAAAACTTACCGAGATTCCCTAACTAGTTCGACCACGACGATTAGGTGAAATGTGACTCAAATATCATCTATCTCATCTGGCTCACTGACTAACTGACCGACTGACTGGCTGTCTGACTCACTAGCTGACTTGTTGATTCACTGGCTGACTGACTGGCTAACCGACTGACTCACTGACCACTGACTAACTCACAACTGGCTGATTGACTGACTTACTTCTGACTGACTCACTGACCGACTTACTGAATCAATGACTGACTCACCAACTGACCGACTCACTGAGAACTTCTGACTGAATGACTCACTAACTGACTCACTAATTAACTCACAGGTATTCATCAATGAACCTTCAATGGAAAACAACATTCAATAATTCTATTTGCTACTATTTTTCCAATAAGTTTAGATGAAATATTCAGTAATGATATTTGACGATATTCATCTATATCTTCATGTGAACCCTTTTTACATCCAGTGAGTATTCCATTGAGGTCTGAGAACAGGAAAAAGGTAATGGGTGCCAGCTCTGGAGAATACGGTGGCCACTGTAGCAATTCGAAGCCCAATTCAACTCTAACCTCAGTGCCTCTGTTTTTTGTTTCAGGGGCGAGGAGGCAAGGGGACGATATACGTTTGGGCATCGGGCAACGGCGGCAACAACAACGACAATTGCAACTGCGATGGATATTTATCCAGCGCTTTTACGATATCAATAGGAAGCGCTTCCCAGAAGGGACAGTTTCCATGGTACGGAGAAGCATGCGCGTCTACTCTAGCTGTAACCTATTCTTCAGGAGCTTACAAGGATCAAATGATAGTAAGTACTTTCCATTGCTCTCACTGAGGATCTGATTTGATGCTGTTTCAGGCGACAACAGATCTACAAAACGAGTGCACTACCAAACATACAGGTACCTCAGCTTCTGCTCCTTTAGCAGCAGGAATCATAGCCCTGGCCTTGGAGGCAAAGTGAGTTTGAATAGATTGAAATTGTTAGATAACATAAAAATCTAACTATTCATTTATTTGAAATAAACTTCCGAACCAAATGTACGAATTGAACATTGAATTGTATTAGTAATGAAAAAAAATAACAGCATCACTGTAAGTCTCCATCGATCAGTATTTACGACACAGTAGAATACATATTTTTTGATCTATGGAGCAACAAAAACATTTAAACGAACCAAAGTTTTCAAACAATCTAATAACAATCGTTAGATACCTACTTACAGCTGTTTATTAACACCCCAAACACTTTAGGTGACTTAAGATAAAGATAGATAATTGTGAAATTCAAACTTAGTCAACTGTCTGTCCGTTCCTGTGAAACATACTATGATATCATCCACATATCTAAACCAATACACGAACATTCTTACCAGTGAGTTACTGTTACCTCTGCCAGAATACGACTAAATGGGTTTCCCATTAATCACTCGAGAACTGGTGATTCAAATGTCAATCATGATTTCAAGTTGAAAAGTTAAGTGAATTTCGAAATGAAATAGAATATCTTTCATTCCAGTTCTAATCTAACGTGGAGAGACGTCCAACACCTGATAGTTTGGACTTCGGAGTTAGCCCCTTTGGTCAACAATCAGGGATGGCAACAAAATGCGGCTGGATTCTGGTTTAACGACAGATTCGGCTTTGGACTGATGAATGCTTACGGATTGGTAAGCGCAGCGGCGACTTGGATCACTGTTCCAGAAAGAAGAACATGTCAAGTGGTCCTGCCAACAGGGTAAGTACGAGTACTAGACACCTGGAATATTTGTCCTCATACAACTCGATCTTATGAATGATTTCCATTGTTCCGTGGTCGAGAAATTAACTGAGAAGATGAATCTTATGAGGTATTCATCAATGAACCTTCAATGGAAAACAACATGCATTTTTCATAGCGCCAATTGAATAATCATGAAATTGAGAAACAGCAGTTGAAACCGATAATCTGTCGATCAGAATATCTGAAAACCTACGAGATTCCCTAACTAATTCGACAACGACGATTAGGTGAAATTAGACTCAAATATCATCTTCACATCAATCAAATAACCAAAATTCATCAGCTTGGGTTTCGAAAAAGACGCAGCACTAACGATGGAATATTTAAGAAGTTAGCGTCCTCAGAAGATCATTATGACTCATTATATAAGACAACCTAACCTAACCTAACATAAACTAACCTAACCTAACATAACCTAACATAACCTAACCTAGCCTGGTTAGCTAAACGAGTCAGTGGAAAAATGTTTCAATAAAAGATGTATGTCTATTGTTGTCGATACAGGGTGGCCAAATACAGTTTGTACAGGGTGATTTGTACAGGGTGGCCAAATTTTGAAGTAAAATACAGAAAAGCTCAGAATCGTTTTTAACTTGAATAATTGTTCCAGATATTGTTTGAAAAAAAGGTTGTATATATCTGGAAGTTATCGCTTTTAATGAGTTGACTATAATCAAATAATTTCTTGTAGGAATATCAATTATACACTATCAACAAACCGGCCTGTGAAAATTCTAATTCACACCGAGGGCTGCAGAGGTGGTAACCAAGAAATAAGATTTCTGGAGCACGTCGAACTCAAAATTAATATCAATTACACCATACGAGGAGTCTTGGAAATTTTTCTAGTCTCTCCAGCAGGTAAGTGGGTGATAGTTTATAGGCATGCACAGGAGTGGAACAGAAAATTTCGTATGGTAAATAATGACGAAGATGCCGATGAAATTTACCACACACATTGTATACCTTGGAATTTAGTTATTATACATTTTAATTGGATCAAAACACTTGCAAACGTTGCTTGCTGATCCACTATAAACTTGATGTTTCATTTTGTAAACCTTATGAAATTGATAAAAATTCTAGGAACGCAAGTGAAATTACTGGCACCCAGAAAGTTAGATAAAAGTGACAGGGGATTTGTGGACTGGACACTAATGTCTGTTATGACTTGGGGAGAATCTGCAGAAGGAGTCTGGATGCTGATAGTGTCAGATACAGTGAGTATGGGTGAAAATAATAGGTCCACTCTCTCTTCATTTTCTGTCTTTTATTCTCTCTACTCTCCCATGTTATTTTTATCCCTATTCCACTTTTTTCTTCATGTCTATACTCTTTTCCACTCGTCTTTACTCGTCTAGAATCTTCTCTTTTCTCTCCTCTCTACTCACTCCGCTCTTCACTCTCTTCTCTTTTTTTCTATCTCTTTTCCCTCTTTTCTTAATTTTCTCTCTTCTCTCTCCTCTCTCTTCTCTCTCCTCTCTTACTTCCTCTATCTTTCCCCTTCCCCTCCTGTCTTTTCCTCCTCTCTTTTCTCTTCTTTCTTCTCTCTTCTTTCCTTTGGAGTAACAATTATTTTTTTAGTCAGAAACTGGTTTGAATCACGGAATAGTTGGAGAAACTCGGCTTATCCTACACGGTACCTATGAACTGCCAGCCCATATGAGAGATGGGCCTCGAAACTATAATCAAAACTACAACAGGATTCAGAATCGGGTGAAAATACCCCATTCCAGCAGCTTGTCCAATATGATTTACGACAACTATGTATCTTTGAACGATGAAAAATTGAGAAATGCTCAGTTGGATTATTTGAGGAGAGAATTTTTAGAATAAATTGAGGAACACGAAAATGTTGTTTGATTATTTCAGACTTTATTTTGTATTTCATTTTCATTCATTCATTCATTTTCAAATAATTTCAGGCTTATTCCAGTTTTTCAAAACTAACTTGTCCCTTTTACCAGCATTGTGTATGATTATAATAACACTGCAAGTAGCATTATTTTTGGATTTCAAAAGAGCGTTCGAAACTATAGATATATCTATTTTGCTATCAAAATTAGAGTACTATGGAATAACTGGTAGGGTGTTGCTGTGAAACCGGGGTCCCCCAGGGGAGTGTACTTGGCCCTGTTTTATTCATACTTTATTTGAATGAAGATTCATAATGCTGTACACAAAATTAATTCGACTCTTGAAAACGTGGCGAAGTTTTTGAACATAAACAAACTCAAACTGAATACCACTAAAACGAAAGTTGTGATATTGACAACATTATATAAATATAACTTATTGATATCAACTCCATTAATATTGAGATCCACGGCGAAACTATTGAAATTGTGGAAGAATTCAAATACCTGGGCTTCATCATTGATAACACCTTGAACTTAGAAAAACACTTCGAGAATATGTGTAATAAAATTTCTAAAAAAATGTTTTTCTTTACTAGAATTAGTAGACAACTAACCTTTCAATCTGATTTGACTGTTTATAAAACAATAATCCTACCACACTTTGATTACTGTGCTACTTTGATATCATAACTAGACGGTAATTCTATCTCTACTCTACAAAAATTACAAAACAGAGGAATGCGCTTGTTATTAAAATGCCATAAATATACTCCTGTATTATTAATATTCTGAATTTGACGACATTAAAAGATAGATTACAATATTTTTCTATGATATTCATATTTAAAATACTGGAAAAGCACCACATTACTTCAATGAGTTCATTACATATAACCATCAGATACGCACAAATATGATACAAGAGGAAGAGATGACTTGGTTGTCCCACGAACTAACCTTGCAAAAACAATGAATTCTATATTTCACAAAGGACTCTTGGACTATAAAAAGCTTCCTAATGAAATTAAAGAAAGTAACAATCTCCAACTCTTCAAACGCTCCTTATCTCAATATCTACAGCACAATATTATTCAAATTGAGTTGTTCATCATTCTTCTCTCTATTAATCTCTTCATCATTTACTACTGCTTTGTTTTACACACTATATTCTACTAGGTAAGTCTTATACAGGGTGTAACTAAATAAGTGTAAAACATTTGCGGAGGTGATTCCTCATCGGAAAAAAGATAGGATCTTTCATATAAAGAAATTTCATTGGAGCATCNTTCTTTATATGAAAGATCCTATCTTTTTTTCGATGAGGAATCACCTCCTTAAATGTTTTACACTTATTCAGGTAAACCCTGTATATTTCAGTTTTTTGTATTTTGTTTGATGGTAACTGATATATTTTTATAATATTTATGTATATTGGGATATCTATTTGAAGTAAATCTATTTCTGTTTCTATATTTCTATATTTTTTTCCTAATTTCACTATCAGGTGCTTGAAACCTGGTTTACATTTTACTATCATCGGGAACATTTAAAATGGTAATTTAAGGTTATCATTTTGAAAAGTATGATTCACTGATGTTACTGCAGATTTGCTAAATGGGGAATTTAGCTGGAATTTATAAATTGTTTCCATATAATGCAATTTTTCTTGTGAAATAATTTTCATGTGCTGGTCTATTCACTTTTTTAGTTCCAGTATGGTGTATAGTATCTTTTATTTTCTGTAACTTTATTGAAAAATTCGTTTGATAACTTTTTTCATTTTATTACATTACTTTGCTTATTTTGATTTGAAAATTTAGAACTGCTTATACAGTGTGTAAAAACCAAATGGAATAAATTCATTATTTCGGTTATTTGAAAAAAATCCCGAAACACGTCAAATGTAAATTATAATCTGACATTCTTCAACGTAAAAATGCCACCCCCAAATTCAACCCCCTTCGAATGAGAGGTACAACCCCCAGTTTTTCAAATGGGAAGTAAAGGTTTGTGATATATCGTTCGAAAGGTCTCTTCATTCTCATTGCAACAATTAGGATAAAATAAATTAAAACCATGTGATTACCGAAATTCGATAAAATACACTTGAAACTTATTGCAATATACTCAAAACTTATTTCATGTTGAGGTATTGATAATGAGAAAGTAAGCAAAAACCATAGCAATGTTCTTTTTAGATGGTATGTAGAAAGGATTTTCAAATATTCCAACTATGGTTCAACCGCGGGTGAAAAAGACGCATCCGTGTAACAAAATTATCTTCTCATTACTGTTTTTCCATATTCTCAAATTTGCGATGTAGTATCAGCACTGCACCCGTGCGGAACCAGGGCGGTTCAGCTTTGACGCAAAAAAATATTGGTAGATCTCACCTAAAAATGGAAACTCCATACGCAAATGCCATACGCAAATACAGCAGTTTTTATGGTCGAGAAGAATATTAACTTACCTGCCAAATAATATGCTTTACATACAAAAAGTGTGCAGTAAAATTAATTCAGCTTATTACTCGATCAAACAGTTAAAACATTGTCTAGATATGTTTGGTTTACTAAATGTTTACTTTGCGAATGCATACTCCCACATCAGTTTCAAAATAATGGCTTGGGGATGTGCGAAGGAATTTTCTAGAGTTTTCATCTCTAAAAAACGACGATAAGATTGATATTCAACCTGGGGTACCAAGAAAGTTGTAGACCCGTTTTCAAAAGAGAACGCTTGCTGACTGCTTCCGCAATTTATATAATGAAATGTGTCATTTTTATGCACAGGAACCCTGTCTTTTTGATGTACAAAACGTCAGGTTAATTTCAATATTGTAACTTTTTTAGTGCTTGTGAAAAAAATTGTTATACAATTCATGTACCCCCTTCAAGGGGCTGTATCTTAACAAGGGATGCTCCAATGAAGTTTCTTTATATAAAAGATCCTATCTTTTTTTCGATGAGGAATCACCTCCTTGAATGTTTTGAGTCCACAAGATTTACACATCATGGTGTATTCATTACGTTATTATTATTATTACATGTCTCTATTTATTAGTGCCATAAAACAACACATTTCAATTCCATTGTAATAAAATTCAACAAGGTTGATTCCTGTATGCACACTCTTCGATAACGTGATTCATTGCCACATACAGGGTGTTATTGTAAGTTTTTTATTAACTGTCAAAAATCACAAAACCTTTCTTCAGGTTGAAGCGATATTGTCTCGTTGGGCAACTATTTGATTTTTAACAAAAAAATAATAATTTATATCTAACAAGTGTAAGAGATTTAAAATTTGACTGCCGACTTATTGATTCACTGGCTGACTGACTGCCTCACCGACTACTGACTGACTCACCACTGGCTGATTGACCGACACACTACTGGCTGATTGACCGAGACACTGACTGACTTACTAGTGACTGACTCACTGACCGACCGACTGACTCACTGACTGATTAACTCACCAACTGACCGACTCACCGATTAATTGACAACTGCTGACTGAATGACTCACTAATTGACTAACTGACTGATTCACTACCTGATTCTCTGCCTCTTCGACTGACTCGAAGACTCACTGACTCACTCGTCGACTCTCTGACTGACTCACGGAGTCACATACTGACTCACTACTTGAGTTACTTAGCCGTTAGTTACTATGTGGTAGGAGGTTATCATGACAAATGAGAAATGAAACTTTTCTTGTTTTTACCACTTTTATTTGTAACTATCGTTTTTGCAGTTTAGTCTTACACGAACATTTTCAAAGTAATACAATAAAAAAAGTTTGAAATGCAGTAACGATAGTTGCAAAAAAAAGTGGTAAAAACATAGAAAGTTTCATTTCTCATAATCTTCAAGATCATAAACGAAAATCTCTTTCTCATGTTTTATAAAGATGATAAAAAACCAAAGCTAGATTATACATGTTATTTAACTTTGTTTAAATAGAACGATAAAAATCCTAAATCCTTTTCGTTTAATTAGTTAATTGTTTGAATAATGAATATTGCCCAATAAATCGTCTATTTGTGCATTTAATTGCAGTGTTTGTTATAAAATGATGATCCTCGTGCTAGAGTCAGTTCTAAGACCTAATTGTCGTTGAATACTATTCATACTTAGTTTTTTTGAAGTGAAAATGAGGTAAATTTAAATTAATACAACCAGTGTGACATTTACAACACTTCAATTTTTTATAAGGTCAGAGAAGCAACTGTTAGAAGTTATTTTCCCAGCTTCATGAATAACTGGTACATTTTTTTAATGTTTCTTATCGAGTACACAGATATGCTGTAATTTCGAAGTCAGGTATAAAAATTATGTAAAACCGTTACAAAATAAGTTCAAGGTATCTACAATATTTATTTGATCCATATGCGACCCAAGAGCCTCCAATATATCCCGAAAAAGTCACTGTTTAAGAATCACCCCGACAAAATTAACTATTGAATAAAAAACCGCATCAAAATCGGTCAACTATAATAGGAGCTACAGTGCCACAGGCAGACGCACAGATATACAGATACACAAGTCAAACTTTCAACACACCTTTTTTGCGTCGGGGATTTAAAATGAAGAAAAATAATTAATTGAAGAAACAAAAATGTTCTTCTTTTCTATATACTTTCATTATTAAAATTTCTTAGCAAATCATAACTGTTTTTCTCAATAAACTGACAAGTGTCAGACAAGCAATTTTCTATTCGGTTTATCGATATTCTTTGATCCAGTCACAAATAATAAAGATAAGACAAAGATGAGAATTTTTCAATTTATCAATGTCATACAATGCAGTTTATCACAAAAATGAATATGTATATTCACGAATTTTTCATTCATATGATGGTCCTCAAAGCCAACATAACCTTCAGCTTGTTACTGTATAGAAATATTTTAACCCGACGCTGAAAATATCTATTGACATACTACTAGATTCTACTAATATGTTGATAATATGTTTCATATCTCAAAAACTGAATATTCATCCGAATTATTTCGTCGCCTGTTTTGAATGGCAGTAGCAGGTACCTTGTCTTGTCGATTTTTCCTCCGTTGACTTAAGAAATGGTGGGTGCACAAAGTAAACGCGACTGGTTTGTCTTATGCTTGTGCATTACATGCTCCTACTCGACATTTCTGAAGAGGTAAGTGGCTCAAACAATATCGTTAGTTATAGGTTTTTTTTTTCGATAAAATCTCACCCATCTCACTAGTTCTGGAAAATTTGCCACGTAGAACGATGTAAGAATTACATAGATAGAATGTAGATGGAAGCATCTTGCATCATCTGGATGCCAAACAAACCTGACCTACAAACCATTCGCAAACGGTCTGAGCCACGTTTACTGGACATGCCAATATCATTTGCATAAAGGTCTCAGAGGTCAGTAGCAGACTCTGCATTACGATAGACTAAGGTCTTATCCAAGACATCATTCTAATAAACCATGATGAATCTGTCAGTTTGAGGCTTCAGCCCATCCACGCAAAGTCTAAATGCTTTAATAAGCCAAGGTCTTCAATGTTGCTGAAGAAAACCTCCATGCAGTCGCAGAAGTAAACTGATTTCTACAGTTTGATATGGGTTTTGCTAAACGGTTTCCAACTCGGTGATAGAGTTGTGGTTATGTCGTTCAGTGTCGCAAACCTACCAAGTTCAGCTTGAGTACTATTCTGTTGGGTAGACTTTCCAAATAATCCAGTCATTCAAGCTTAAATTAGGTAAGAATCTCGGAATTCGAGATACCAGCTGTAAGTCTGTAAATACTTGTATATTGACACCCTAAAAGTTGTCTCAAAACCAACATATGGTAGGATGTAAGCAACTATTAAATTTCAAGGTCAAAGGTCACAAAAATAGGTTTTTTGCGCTTTTTTTGGAAATATCTCATTTCCTATGGGTTTTTTGCTATTTGTATTCATTATCAATATTGTAGAATACAAAATTCTCTACAAATTTTGTTTAAAAAATTTTTTTATACGGTGAACCGTTTTCGAGATAGAGGGCGGAGAGCGCGCGGTCACAGCATCACTTCAGGTCACNGGGTGTCAATATACAAGTATTTACAGACTTACAGCTGGGTATCTCGAATTCCGAGGTGAACTTACTATAATGACTGGACTAAAACCCGTGGGTTCGCGGCCTTCCTATGATCTGGTGGAATACAACCGAGGTGAAGTCGATTTGGGATGCAAACTTTCAGGAATATTCTTCATTTTGCGGGTTTTGCGTTGAGATGGTACAGCTCGTCCCAAGTCAATTCCTCTGCTGTAAAATAAAAGAGTAAAGTGAGAGCAAAAGAGCGGGTATATTCGTAGCAGCAACATTGTTATTCCTCGTCACTTTCAATGAGGTGATTTCTCAGGGTTAGTGCTTACTGTGGAGAGAGTTCTCCTTATGCAAATGGTTTGTAGGTAAGTAAAGGTCTCTCCAACATCCAGATGTCTTTATATAATTCTTGCAACGTCCTTTGCTAAGATGAGACCGATACATATTTCTCTATCCCTAATTTCATAACACGCAAGGACGAAGATCATCGATTATACCTATACATCCTCAGCAACTTCTCTAATAGCAATTTTCTTCACTTTCTCAACATTTTCATTGGTAGCTGATGTGCTGGGGCGTCCAGGGCATGCGTAGTCATTCTCGACCTTCTGCGAAAAGCTTTTACCACTTGTATATTCCGCTGTGGAACACACACAGTTTGGAAATGACGTCATTGCATAAAAGAACGTGCTTATTCGTGACTACGTCATCAGTAATAAAGGTTGCATAATCAGTAGTCGTTAATAGCACTTAATTAAACAATAATAAAATGATTCATAGTGAATAATTCCAGTCGTATTGGCCATAATTTTTTGGTATTAACGATTTATTCAGGAATGCCATAACAATGAATTAAAATATTTACAATGAAAGTACGCAACACGTAAAACACCGTGACGTTGAATATGACGTTCAGGTGTATGAGTGACGTAATGCCAAAACGTGGGTCTCTCCATCCTTTTTTAGATGTTGGAGTCCGTGTCCCCTATTTAATGTTCGGTCCATATTACGCCGTCTCTGGTGATGGGGAAAGCTGACATACCGTTTACAGCGCCTTTCATTATATTTAACAAAAGAGGCGATTTTAAACCGACAGTAATCATAAGTGGTAGAAAAAAATGTTGTGTAGTTCGAGTTATAGATTACTTGGTTACTGTAAGCCAGTCCAGCATACCTGACAATTCTCTTGAAAATTATATGAACAAGTTTACTGATAAATACTGAAAATAACGTTAAATAAAAGTATACCAGAGCCGCTTGCATAATGATATTAAATTCACGACTCTAACAGGCACCAATTTCCCACCACCTCAGTGATGTGATTTATACTGATTCAATGATGGAATTTCCAGAATCAATACCTAAATCTCGAACTAGTTCCGAGATAAGCCGACGTTTCATCTATAAAAATTTAAGTGGAAACATCCTTGACGAATGTGACTGAAGTCTCGCATACAATTTCTAATTACCCTTCATCATTCGCAAAATAATTATCATCGTGTAATCGTCTAGTATTTCGGTTCGGCAATTTTGACGAATATGAAAAGAAAATCAGCTGTCAAGAATTCAGTTCGCAAAAGTAAAAGAAGGTATGTTAAAGTATTGCTGTGACTTCAATGAAATTATTTATTTTTCTACGATCAACGGTGAGTTTAGTTGAAAAATATAATATGGTTTTGGTTCCTTTCATTCGCGCTTCCGATGAATCGCCATTCTAAGAATTTGATTCGTCAAAATCTTTCAGGTTTACAGTTGGTGTTACCGGGGTCGTTGAAAAGTTTGTCTTGTAGTCATTAAGTTCCTGTTTTTTTTCAGTGTCATAATGTGGTGTTTTCTTCATTACAGATTTGAATTCTACAGAATATATATGCCAATTCATGTATGTATAATTTTCAAATTCAGGGCAGGCGTTGCCAAATTTATATCTCAATGTGTCATTGCATGGCATTTAAATAATCAAAATCATTCATAAATCAAAATAATTTTCAAATAAAAATCTTTAACAAATTGAGATGATGTAGGATTTTTGACATTATAAAAATTGTATTCATTTGAATCAACAGAGGTATAAAACGATCGGATCTCTCCAACAGAAATCTTTAACTTTACTGCACAGCATGCTCGTCGAATATCTTTCAGGTACCCCACAGAAAAAATCGAGTAACGTCAAGTCTGGAAGACGAGCAGTTATTGAAATGGTCTTCTATTACATATCCAACCGTTAGAAAATTGAGATTTTGATGATAATTTTTGAATCATAGTGAAGGAAACATTCTATTCTCATGCGATTTGACAATAGTATGTCTTCCACCAATGCCTGTATACGAATATTGAGATATAGAGCTAAAAACACATTACATTGGAACGCGCAGAACTTTTGAAACAATATAACATCCTGTATGTTTTGTTAACGAATTTTACCGACTCAGTAAAGATTTTTGAAGCTGACTCTCACTCTATTGGTGTGAAATCTCGATGTGTTTTTCCACACAATCTTTTTATACATTTTTGCATCATCAACAGAAGAGTCTGAACACGAAAAAAAAGTCTCTGGAAGAAAGTGAATCTGACCTTGGTCGAACTGAATTTCGAAAGAGTTGGTCCACCGCTATTGGTAACCCACCAATAATATGGTTCCTTTTTTGGAAAAAAAAGATTTGGAGGAAGCCTATTGAACAAACGAAAATTTGAGAACAATGATCAAAAACAATAATCGGGAGTATATAATCTGATTTCCTGTCTCTAACGTTATATTGGTCAAACGGGGAGAATGATATTCAGAAGAAAGAAAGAACATAGAAAAAAAGCTTTCGAAAGGGAAGGCAAATTCGACATTTGCAAACCATCTTTTGGTAAAAGGCATAAGCTATCTGTTCAAAAATTTTTCCCAAAAAATATTAATTTTAGCGGTGCATCACTTCAAGATAATACTCCTTATTGACAGTACGACCATGTGGAAAGAAATCCTGAATGAATTTCCAATCAAGTATTAACCAGTTACCTGAAACATTGATTGTAGGAGAAACCGTATTGTATTTCCATTTGAATGTCTCTGCGTGCAGGATTCTACAGCGCAGCAAAATATTGATTTGTAACTTCGTAACATCCCTAGAAAAAAACTAAATTTAGTCCATTGAATAGCAGAGTCGGGTTGTAACGATGTCTTGCAGTTCGAACATAATTCAGACTCGGATTCAACAACCTCATTTCAGGTTTTCTGAAAAACCCCGGGTGCTTTTTAACTTTTATGAGTAATCTTTTCTAATAGCAGAGTCGGGTTGTAACGATGTCTTGCAGTTCGAACATAATTCAGACTCGGATTCAACAACCTCATTTCAGGTTTTCTGAAAAACCCCGGATGCTTTTTAACTTTTATGAGTAATCTTTTCTTTTTTTTAGTAAAGCACTCTCCATCACACCAATTACACCTGCTGTTACCCACAGCGAGGGACCGTACTGGGATGAAAAAGAACAAACTTTGTACTACCTTGACACATTCAGTGCCACTTTGCACAGATGGGACTCCCATAATGAGCGACTTTCATCGCATAAATTAGGTGAGGCTCTGAGATATATTTCAATATTTCATTCCTCTGTTTTTCTGTTGAACACGTGACAAACCTAGGAAGCCGAAACTTGTGCGAACTGAGGATCATTCTTTACTCCCAGGGAAATCTAGAATCAAGAAAATGTAATTTACAAGCAAAATGAGTCACTAATATTGGATAACACAAACATTTTCTCTCTCTCTCTCTCTCTCTATAGGTTTATTGGACGTTGCTGCCTGGCGCATTTGTCCATCCTCCTCCTATCAGAATTGACAGGCCCCGGCCTCCAACCGGCGTAAATGAAAGTGCTGTTTCTCTGTAACACTTATAATACTTTTTTCACAAAAAATGTTTATTTTATTGGGGGCACGTTCTATGACAGCAGACAGTCACAGCATAAAACTGGTTTCATCAGCAACAATGAACGCAAAGTATTGTCAAAATTAGGTTGTAGAAATATGTTCTAAATATTCATTGACCCAGTAGAAACAGTAAGTATCTCAGAAGATAGTTTTTCAATGTTTTTTTAAACTTACATTGCCGAGAACTTTAAACTTAAGGGGAAGACGAAGATAAAGACTATTTTTTGAGATTTATAAATGAATTTGATTATTTGTAATCCTTTTTTTATATCTTCTTTACTTGCATTCCTCTTTTAAAAAATTCAATTTTGCCGTTTCAATCATTTCTACCAGAAAAAAGCAAACTATTATAATTAATTTTTTTCATTTCGAGTAAAATCTTTCTTCCAGGTAATAATAAAAAATCTGAAAGACTGGTCAATCTACATTTTCATTCTTTATACTCAATGGAATATTCACCTGCATATTCTGTTTGACAGATAAGAATGCAGATTATGTCTTGAAGCAGAAAGAGATTTTGGATTTGGGGTACCACGACATGCTTGGTATAACCACAAGAGATACTTTGGAAGTATCGAGCGAGATTCTGGTTTACAGTGCCATAATGCGATGGTGTATTGAAGAATGCAAAAGAAGGACACTGCAGACTCAAAAAATCAATTTGAAGGCTGTGCTGAGGGATCTTGCCTACGCTCCGAGGTAGGTTCAATAATATAAATGAAAATACGAACGATTGATATAATTTTAAATGTACATGTGAACAGAAAACATTAATTTCATACGCTGATGAGAAAGTGAAGTATCAGTTCAATTCGCTTTCCAGCTCAAGTTTAAAAAAGGTATTGAAAGAAAAAAAAAGGAAATTTCATAAGTGATAATAATGTAGTTATAACATGTCAACTGAGAAAAAGTTCACTTATGACTAATGTCAAATATCAACTTGTTACACTTCGTATTTCTCACTTTCAATGGATCTCCACCATGAAGTGGAATACTGAACCTACTTATAGAATTTCCTTTCGTTTTCTATCCTGTAACAAATGAGTAACTCTGTATCATCGATCAAAGGAACAGAGTCAGCGTTGTCAATCACGTAACCCGAATCAACTTCGGTCATTGATATTATATTGTCCTCTTATTCTAGTAATTGGGAATAACAATAGTGCAAATTATAGACTTGATTTGGACACAAGAAGAACTTGAAAGTCTCTATTCATCATGATCTTCTCAAAGAAATGAGCGGATCAATATTTTAATAGACAGCAAGAACGCACTAGGGGCTCTGACAAACCCGAAGGTGACATCAAAACTGGTCTGGGAATGCCATGAGGAACTGAATGAACTTGCAAACAGGAACAAATTAACTTTGTACTGGGTGCCAGGGCATTCAGGAATCACAGGTAATGATAAAGCTGATGAATGCGCTAGACACGGATCATCAACTTCATGTATAGGTCCTGAACCAGCTCTGAGGGTACCAAAATCATTAGTTCGAAACCAGATTAGGACATGGACCAATAAGAAGCACACAGAGTAATGGACAAAAGTATCTGGCAACAAACACAGTAGAACCTTCATTAGGGAACCGTCCGAGAAAAGAACCGAAGAACTACCTCAATATAGTAGGGATCGGCTCAGAATAATCCCAGGGTTACTAACCGGTCATTATCCGCTTAGAGGACACATGAATAAAATGGGGCTGTACAACGGAGACCTCAGCTGCAGATTATGCAACGAAGGAATAGAAACAGCTCTACACATCTTATGCGAATGTGAGGCACTGAATCACAGGAGGCAGGCAATATATGGACGTACGAAATTACGTCCAGAAGAATATGACGAACATCCAACACGGAACCTGTACAAACTAGCACAGGGAACGAGACTGATGGAATGTGTGTCATGAGAAGATGGGAGAATAAACGCAATAAGCCCAAGAGGCTGCAGTGTTTTCTGGAGACTTGGACTAAATGGACAAGTCATACAGCTCCCAAGGTACCAAAAAAAGATCTTTTTTACAGTTCCTTCATCGTCCCTGGATTTGTTTCAAATAGACATCACCTGTTTCACGGTGCTCCCAAAACCGAAGGTAGCTGTGGAAAAATATAAATGATTTTTTTACAAAGCTCATCTCAACTACCAAAAGAACGTTTAGTCTATTCGTAAGATAAGTAATTCGCTGGGCTGCTTCGAGCAATCAATTATTAATTTTTTGTCCTGGGTAATGTTCTTGTCTTTCGTTTGGTAATGGTTTCTTGATAGATAGTCCAGTAAACAAGTGCCATTTCGCAATGTTTGAGTTCCTCTGCATAGACAATTATAATTGAGATAATTTGTGATTTCACACGGGGTAATTTTGAAGATATTCGAGATGTAACCTTCCAATTTTCATTTTATATTGTTTATGGGGCAGTCTGAACACAAAGAAACCGTTTCTGCGAATTTTAATTTGTAGATTGTATGTAACATACCAATAATTCAAATTTCTTCATAGATCTGGGACTGGGAGCAGTCTACAGTAGTACTCCAAATAAATTTTTGTACAACTGTCATCAAAAGTGACATTTTTAATGGTTGTTAAGATTATTAAAAGATGTTCACAAAGTAGCGTGTTAAAAATATTTTCAACACTAGTGCTTTCAGCATCAGCCTTTTTATTAGAAATATATTGATCTATGTAAACCTCAGCTACTGTTGTAGACGTCCATCCTCCGTGCTTCTTATTATCCATTATATTTGCTTCTGATTCTGCTAGCAAAGAAGCGAAAGACCTTTTGAAACAGTGACCTGTATATTCCTTTGGTTCCCGGGGGTTCAGAAACTCAGAAATGGTGGAGGGCATCAACGTGTTTATATCAGCTGGGTTATCACTGCATTTATAATTTGAGTATTTCAAAAAAACGTTGATAATTGATAACAGCAGGGCGTAATGCAACGTATTCATTGAAATAGTCAATGTTTTTTCCAACAATGCAAAAAGAACGACCTCATTTATAAATCTCTGTACTTGTTGAAACGTAAGAGTTTTTGGTTTTTTTTTACCTATAACTTTCATTTTTTCGCTTTAAAAATGCTACTACCTTCAAATATTTGTTCGTATTAACACCAATTTTAATTAGCGCACTCGACTTTATCATTGAAAACTTACTCCACAAAGTTGACGGGTTCCATATTTTCATTTCCTTCTATATAGGATAAGAAGACGGTTGCTGCTGAGTTGATTTTTTTGGTAACAATTTAATTGAAGCTCTTTTTGCATCCTCTTCAGTATCGTCATAAACACACAATTCCTCACTATTGTTCTTCATTATGCAAGACTTTAAATACTTGCAAGAACTTTAAATGTGACTTTAAATAAAACGCGTGAGCTGTAAACAATAATGTTTGTTGGCAAACATTATTGTTTACAGCCACTTCACAGCAATTGCGATAATATAAAAATAGTTAACTGACAAGAGATGTCAAAATGTGTTTTTATTATTAAATTTATCTATTTTATTATGAAAACAGGTATGATATTTGTGTTAAAAGTAAGTTTTATTCTCACTCACAAAATAAAACCTTTTAACACTCGTATCAGCTATATAATCAAAATGCTGACACCTATCCAAATTCCATATTGTTTATTGTTGATTATTTTTAACCATGTTTCAGTTAGACGATACGCAAATAGACGTCAACTAGTACTACTCTTCTTCTATTGTTTAGTCATAGAGTTTATTTTCACAGTGTATAGTAAAGTAGAGTAAGAAGAGAGGTTCATAGAGAGATAAATCTACTTTTAGTAATGTCGTACTTAGAATCGATGGACTCTGGGTATATTACTGATGTAAGAGAATTTATTACATTACATAGATGATATAATTGCTTGAATCGATTCGATATGTGAGGAATGAAGTTTTGAAAGGGGTTTTTTCTGTGCCTGATTTTTTTTCCATCACATTAAATGTTCATAGTGAGATATACTTTCAGTGTAATATAAATGAAAACAACCTCAATAAGGTAATATTATAGAAAATTAGATTCCTATCTGCTTCCTATATAGAGATATGGAACACCGCGCCACTGTTGCAGGACCCTGTATACAGTGATTTTGCCATTCATAGAATTATGCTTTGAGATTCCTGTGAAGAAATTATTTCTTTGATATTTTTCTAAATTTAGTGTGCATTAGAAGACATATTGCTATCCAACATAAAATTAATATTTTAACTTTTCAAAAAATTCAATTCTCTGATTATCAATATAGAATGAATGATAATCAAAATTTACCTGTTTTCATTTGTAAGGTGTCATTAAAATCACCCCTTTAGTTTTTGCAACATTGAATTTCAATTTCTTGGTAGAAAATTAACGTTGAAGTTGCTTTAGAAATGTATTCATCTCATCTACAACTGTACTCAAAATCTTTATTTGTTATAGATAACAATGTATCGTCAGCAAATAAATAAATCAAATCACATCTGCGATACACATTATCATTAATATATAATAAAAATAACAATTGTCCTAGTATACTACCCTGGGGTGCAACAAATTTAGTAATAACTGGATCAGATTACTATTTTCAATTTTTGTAACTTGGCGTCTACAACTTAAATAGTCTTTAAACCAGTTTATTACAGTTCTCTCAATGGCTTCCAATTT